TTTTTATATATATAAATATATATAAAAATGAAATATGAAATAAAGGTTTGAAAATGATAAACCTTTTTTAGTTTTCTTCCAGGTCAGCCACCACAAAAAATAAAAGTTTTTTCATTTTATTTATTTAACAGGTTCGGCTCAAATTTGGATCAAAATCAAGCAGCTGACTAAGACCTTTTATTTCAAAATGATCACTTTTTTAAATACTACTACTACTACTTCTACTAATAATAATAATAATAATAATTAGGAAGTCTGTAGGACTGGTCTACCTTTGTAGATGAGCCTTAAATGAGTCTGCGGGGCTGTAATGCGCCTGCACAGCCAGGAGATAGAGGGCTTGTGGCATGGGATGTAAATAAACCATTGCAGCCATGGCAGTCGAATCTTAGTAAGTATACAACTGTGGATGGGGAGGGTGGGACTGGTTAGCTCAGAGCAAATAGGCAAAAGGGACTAAGAGCACTTTGTTTTAAAGTGCCCTTATTCTTTAAGGCATGATAGCTGATGGTTAATCCAGCCCTGAATAGAATAACATGCAGGGCAGCATAGGAGAATCCACAATGGTCACCAAGTATGGAAAATGGAACAAAGTACATAACGTCCTTGGATATCCACATTGGGAAGCCCTACAAGTTCACAGCCCTGATCAACACAAACCTTTTGCATAACTTTGCAAGTTTGCAAGTGTTATACTCAGAATCCTTTATGTTTAAAAAAAGATCACTGATGCCCAACTCTAACATAACGAGACATAGTAAAATATGACTTTCTGAAAATGTCAAAGGAAGGCACCTTAATAGAAATGGAATCTGAAGAAACAGTGTGAACACACAATATTTTCAGGTTTTCCTTAACACATTTTATGCTCTGCCAATTTAAAAACGCCAGACCCTTGAGTATTGACGTGGCATTTTATGGCCTTTATACACCTTTAAACATAAGAGTTTACTACTGACCCTGCTACAATAAAATCCTAATAAAACTGCTCTCATTTTGTTTCCCAAGTTGTTAATGACCTTCTGCAAAAATAGTTTACCAGATGAAGACATACACCTTACCAAAAGGAAAAACTGAATATGATTAATAAACCATTAGTCATTTGGAATTATTTAAAGTGTGACTGCACTCTAAATGAAAAAAACAAAACAATACACCTGCAACAAGCAGTTTGCACACTGCCAATGTTTTCCCACCCTCGGCTTATAGTCGGGTCAATACTTTTTCCCAGGTTTTTTTGGTAAAATTAGGTACCTCGGCTTATATTCGGGATGGCTTATACTCGAGTATATACGGTATGCAGTTCCTGTGATGCGATAAGTACATGAGCAGTCCTTTGGCATTATACTTTCCCACTAAACTGACAAATGTATTCATATGAATAAGACAAAAAGGCAATCCGTATTAAATATAAATAGGCACCTAATAATGTTTCTTTACTCTTTTGTATAAAAAATATATCTGGTGACGATGTTCTTACTTAAAAAAACATTATAGTTGAGTGCACATATGTAAAAGAACATAACCAGAAGAATTGTGAACTAAAAAAAAAAACACTGGGGCACACACTACTTTTGTTGTTTTAAATGTTGTTTTATAATGTTTTTTTAATATGTGACCACATTAGTTCTATTTTTATGTGGTAGAAATGGAAGCCCTGATCTCCTGAAACACATTGGTTGTTCCTTGCGATTCAATATCAATAAAGACATTAACAACCAAACATCTGAGTTGTATGACTACCTGTACTTCTCACCACACACTCACAATTACTCTATATATGATAAAATAGTACCTTCTGTGGTTCCATCAGGAGTTGAGCAGCCTAGACCATACCACAAAAGCCATTTAACTCCACCACTCACAAATAGGATCTTAACCAACACAACCATGATTAAACCTGCCCAGCACCACCACATACTGAAAGATTGTCCCTTACTTTGTGTCAGGTTTCAAGTTTTCTACTGTAGAATATGTCTGATTTGTTGTTATGATTGATTGATTCTTTCCTTCAGGTGCTCCATTTTCTATTGAAATGACTTTAAACTCTGAAATAGGAAACAAACAAAAAAACAATAAAAGATTTCTGTTACTTTATTTCTGTCATTCTGGCTATTTTAGGATTTTGACATAAAATCTAATTATGTTTAAATTTGTTATTGGGAGCATTAACTACAAACTTGTACACAGTATTTGACAGTAGTGAAGTTATTCAATTTAACTAACACATCCAGTGCTTATGAATGGAAATACATCTTCTAAATTTCGGTCTTCAGTAAAATGAATTTTTTGTAGTTGTTGAATTAAACCTAGGGGAAAACCCCCTTGAGACCTCTAAATGTAAAATGTGGAGTATTACACTGAGCAATATGGGGGTGTATTATGCTTTCACTACCGGGAGCTGATATTACAACTTGAAATTAGGGAGGGGTAGGCTTCAGAGATATTCAGGGATAATTTTAAAAAGTTTAGGGCATGTACCTTCACCTTGTGGTGTCTGCATTTTTGTAATGTCTGCATTAATTTAATATGACAATTCATTTACATTAGTTTTTTCTTCAGGAGTACTGCAAGCAATATTTTAATATCTTTCTGTCACTCTTTATTTGGAAAATAACTCACATGTCATACGTCCAATATTTCAAGGGTGTCCACATTGTAATCATCCAAAATATGTAACAACGGTTTGACCAGAATTTAGACTCCAGATCATTTTATTGCCACGGGCAGTTAAAGAGTATAATTGTTTTAACAAACTGATAAAACAACATATCACATTAAGGAATATCTATAGTAAAAACATAGTTTTATAGTTATGAATAGTGGAAAGGTGCTGCAAACTTTCAGGATGAGAAACAATGGTAAATCCTAAATGTCACAGTTGGAGGAGGTTAGGGAAAATCTTTAAATGGAGACACCTGTTCCACTCACATTACTTTCACTTCATATGTGACCAAGATAGGGAATGAAAGGTAATCTCCCGACCAGAACACATATGGTATTAAAATACCTAACAGGAGATTTATCCATTCCCTATTCAATCCAGAACTATAAAAAGATTTGGCTAAAGATACACTGCATGTCCTGGATATGTGTAGGCGTCTTTTCTTTAATGCAATAATGAATCAGTGCAGTCTTGAAAACAGCTTATTATTAAAAGTAGGGATGCACAGATACTTTTCGAGTACCAGTGCAGATACTTGGCATTTTCATGAGTACTACCAGGGTTGCAGCTGGGACCGGGCTCTGGCACTCCACCACTGTCTTGAAATCATTAGTCTGTATTGTTTTAGAAAAACAGTCACATGACAATAAACAAATATGTATCAGTACTCTTACTTGTAAGTACTCAGCAAGTACCAGTACTCGTACTCGCAAAACTGGTATCTGTGCATCCCTTTATTTATATTTATAAAAACAAAATCATACATTAAAGCAGAGATGTACAAATGACAACTGCCTCCTAATTTTTGAATTTTTCTCTAGTGTAGTCCTGGAGCTCAAAAGTATCGGTACATATACTCGTACTTGTACCGAGTACTGTACTTGGTATCTAATTAAAAGGGCACCACCATACACAGAACTCTATGCCATCTGATAACACATTATGCTCTGTAATAAAGTTGATGAGGCATTCAAAATCAAACACAAACCTCAAACAGACATTCTACATAAATGCTAAAAATCCTCAAGGCAATTCCAGTAATGTGCTGAAATCTCAAAAGCTAAAAATAAATTTACAGAAAAGAATGTTACAATATACAGAAGGAACTAAATTACCTAATTCCTCTCAATAGTTTGCAGATCACATTATCTCAACCTAGTAGACATTATACTATAATGCATAATAAGAAGCCTTGTAACATGAATTGGTTTAATTGTGGAATAGCATAAATATAGAACAATTAGTGACGATTAGGTTGTCCTGCTTCTAAGCTCTATCTTCAGCCAAAAAGTGACATCATCAGAACAAACAACAATTTGTTTTGTGCATTATTTCAACATTTTAAACAAAATCCTGCACATATTCCGCTAGTAACAAGTATCTTGCTATATCTATAGTTTTAACCCCCTCGTGACTGACGACATATAGTGTACGTCGCCAGCATCGGGTCTGTTCACACAGTCTGTCTATTTTTCACTAAATGTTGGGGTTTAATAAGGAGTTGCGGTAATATTGCGCAACATAAAAATGGGTGCAAAAAATTAAAAAAAAAAGGCCTCAGTCATGAAGGGGTTAAAGGTGAAAAAATTATCTTGTATTGGGTGAATAAATGAACTTGAAGACACCTCTGGAGGGATACTATCACTATATTCTATATAGTTTCGGCTACCCTAAAAAAAATGTTTAATAATACTTTAGTGTTGTTTATATTTCAGTTTTTACTTGTCATTCCCGTCAAAGTTATGTGCCTCCCTTTGGACAGAAAACTAAATAAGTGAGAAAATAATTCACCTCTAAAACAATTCACCCCTAAAAAAAAATGGCGATGTGTGGGATCAGTAACAGGAAGTCAGAAGTCAGTAGGTGCTAACTGAATCTATTGTTTTCTCTGTTAGAAACACAAAAAGACGGAGTACAGTTGACTGATTCAATGGGAATACACCCCAACAGTGTTCAATACAACTCAATGTAACTACTAAAAACTGAGTTTTCATCTTTAATACAGAGTTAATGTTTAAAACCAAGTGTATATAACATTATATTATGTAGGAATAAGGGCATTTTAATTCTCCCTTATTACATCATAAGATTTCTTGTAGATGTCCCCAGTATTATATTTGAAGGTACAAATGCTCTAAACATCTTGTTACTATAGGCTGTGATTTCCATATCATCCCAAGGTCACTTCACATATGTACAAAAATTAATCAAAGAACAAGTCTTACAACGTTTTATCTTTTATAGTCCTGTGCTACCACTGTTGTGACCAATATTTGCTTGGAAATCTTACAATAGCTTTTTTTTTCTCATTGAAAATGCACTTCTCCACCAGTGCTCTATCCTGGTATAGCCTAGTACCAGCTACATCCCTATTATATAGCAGAGAAAAAGGGGGATGTGTCACTACTATTACTAGCAGCTGACTACATGGTGCAGTGGGTCTAAGACACATTTAAACATTCTTTACAATTGCTTTACAGAAACAGGTAAGACTAGGAAAATGCATTTTGACAGTACAGTATCTATATCACCGCCTATCTATTTCTGGGACTTCAACTGGCCTTTAACATAGCTGGCTCCTTGTATAGTTTTTGCAAATTGTACATCCAGGGAAATCAATGTTCCACTTTTCACAACTCTTTTTAATCTACCTCTTGAATTATGTGTTATAAAAGAAGAAAATGTGTATATGTTACTAACCAGTAGCTGAGTCATTATTAGGCATTTCCCAGTCCAAAATAACAAAGGATGAACACCCCTCTACAGTCACAATAGTAAGATTGGAGGGAGGGTTCTTGGGGGGAGTTGAGATTTCCTGATTTGTGCTCTCCTCTGATGGGAAGTGTTTAAGAGATTCTGTGATGGAGCAGGGTACATTGTCTTCTTTGTCTATGTACTTTACATGTGGTCCTGCAGGTATATAAAATGAAGATGATATCATACAAACCAAAATATAATTTACCTGTAATAATTGCTTTTGGGGTAAAGGAACTAACTTTATCACATAGCAATAAATAATATTTATTGGGCAATTACACTGAAAACCAAATCAAACCAAATCTGAAAACTAAGTTCTGAATGGCTGCTGACATGTTAAATTACATGCTATTTACTTAATCATCTTAGTGATTACTGTTCAGAGATATCCCCACCACAATTCCTAGCTTTATACCACAGTCAAAACCTTTACAAAGCCAGATGTTGTCACATTTTAAAATAATCAAGTTATTAGAAAATCCAACTGCAAAAGTAATCCTTATATTTATTATATTTTTCACTTCTGAAAAACGTAAAAACGTAATAAAGTTATTTCCTGTACAAAAGGTCCATAGCTAAGATGTGTAAATGGTTATGGAGCTTAACTGGTTATAATATAAAAAACAAAAATCACAAGGCTACCATAATGTTCAACCCAAATGTAGTTAATAGCCATAAAAAATAAGTATAGAGTATGTACCATGTATTTAAAAATAGCTTAAAAGTGTATCTAAACACTAATACTGCTTAAGATAGCATTGCAGAGTGCACTGGACATTTTAAGCACACTAAATTTCTGCCAGGATAAAAGTAATGATGCATGTCATCTTTAATGATGCATTTTATAAAGTTATATGCCATGTCATCATATAGTATTCTGTACAGTCAGTGTATTTTATAAGCTGTCTGAATTGAGAATTACTCAATAATTTTCTTAGAGGTCTATTTACAAAGTAGTGAATGTAATATTCACCAAACATTCAGTGCAGCTTATTCTTCCTTGTGAATGTGTTCTATATTACAGTGATTCATTTATATGCATCGAATGTTTGGTGAATGCTACATTTACTACTTTATAAATATGCCCCTAAGTGGTTCTTATTAGAGTTCTGAGGTTTCTTGTTTCTTTTATTGTCCTTGATTGATGAAATGCACGAATAAGTATATTTGTCTAAAGTGTTTTCTAAATGCTTGGGACTCCTATGCCACAGATTTACAGCTCCTACAGAAAGTAACTAAATAAATCAACCATACATATTACTTAAAAATAACTTACCTGTATATCTGGGTTTGCCCAGTGCATCAATGTCTGATTTTGGAGAAGGACTGAATACAGTAGGGTCCACTAAAATATACCAAACAAGAATTAGAATGTTTATTTCATGTTCATGTTAATTAGACCTAAAGAAGTAAGCAGTGCCCTGTCCAATTGTGGCTCTACAACATAACTAAAATCCAATACATAGTGCAAAAAACTTTAATGGAAACCCATGAACAAGAAGTGCTGGGGATCCAATTCTCTCTTTTTTTTATCTTCACATTGCAAGGTTTTCTTTGCAAAATATCATTCTTTCTTGGCTATGTTCTAGGATCAGCCATAGAAGTGTACATTGTTTACTTTAAAATGTTAGGTCTGCTTTAAGTTTAAAGTACAAGTATTAATTAGGATAATGACTAGAGTAGTATATAGAGAGGAACAGTTATTTACTAATTACTAGTAATGATAACAACGAGGGATGCACCGATACCAGTTTTTCAAGTACGAGTACCGATACTTTGCTCTCGGTACTCGTCGATACCGAGTACCGATACCGGTGCTTCAGCTGACATGGAGACGGCTGCCCGGGCAATCTGATTCGCCAAGAAGCCAGCTCCATGTTGTCTGGCCGGTTTGATTGTGCTTGGTCAGGAAACCGGCTTCCCAGCCAATCAGCATCGAGTTGGCTTCCCGGCCAATCAGGAAGCCGGGCGGCAAGTAATGACCTGCCTCCCAGCTTCCTGATTGGCCGGGAAGCTGGCTCGATGCTGATTGGTTGGAAGTCATAACTGGCCGCCCAGCTTTCTGATCACATTGGCTCCATGTTCCCCTTCCTCTGACTGGAAGTTCCGGTATTGGGGAAGGTATCGGAACATTTGGTTGAGTACGAGTACTTGCCCAAATGCTCGGAATTGGCACCGATACCGATAGTAGTATCGGTACATCCCTAATAACAAAGGAGTGGAGGGAATATAAAAGATAATACTTAAAAAAACAAACAAATTAAACAGATATAAATAAAATATTGTCAATGTAAGGGTTAATGCATGATTTAACCATTTCCAAACGATTCTTTGCATCCCTCACTTATTGTTGGTTCTGGCTTTTACCTTAAACATCGGACGGTTACGCAGGATACAGAATCATTAAACATCTAAAAGATTGATATAAAAACGATTTTGGCTGTAACATATCACCATCTAGGTACAACTATACTTACCATTTTTCACATTAATTTTTAAAAATAAGTAAAATAGGACTTCACTGGAAATGACAAAGGAGTAAAGAATGTGCACATCAGAATATGAAGCTACAGAGGGCACATAAATATATATTGATTAGTGGTGCAAGTAATATGTATTTGAATGATTTGTCTAAAATCCAAAATATTTATAGACTCTAAAAGATGTTGTAGTTCTGAGTAACGAGGAGTCTGAATGCTGGGCATTTTTTGTAGATTACTGGATTTATTGTTTATTACTGTTTTTGTTTTGGTTACCAGATTTTTTGCTGATTACTGTAATTAGAAGTGGGAGAGCAGAATGTCTGAGAACAGATAGGCACTAGGGCTCGGAAGATGACACTACTCCCCCTGTTTGATGCCCTGCACGCACATGATACTGCATGTCCAAATGTATTTCTGTTTAAGCAAATCATTGGTAAATTCCATAGACTTGCAGCCATGTGTTGACATGTAACCAGCTTGTTTGGATTTCCTTTGGGTTATTTATTTTCTTCTCAATATAATAAGACATTGGTTGGTAGCATGGTCTTTAAAACAATTAGTTTCTGTACACACTGTATATCACAGTGGTAAGAAAGTGAGACTGTAAGCTCCACCTGAAGAGGAGCAAATATAAAGGGATATCTGTAAAGTGATGCAGAACATGTTGGAGCTATAAATCCCTAGGTGTTTCATTGCAACTTACTGTATGTAGTTTGACTATTGGTCCTTTGTCCTCATATCTAAATTTTCAGTAATTGGCCTGATTAACAATAACAATGGTGGAGCTGAAGCTTCAGGCCACCTGTCCAAATAGGTCCAAAATCCCGGTTCTAGATTGCTGTGGTTAATTTGAAATCTGACCGTATGACCACTGAGCACATAGGAAGTCACTTCCTGTTTCTAGAGATCACTTACCTACCTGCACACATCACTGATGCCCTAGTTCCTCTTCTATTCTTCCATGTGGAGTTGAAAAAACATATCTCTAACCTAATCTCTGGGGATTAATCATTGCTACAGCCAGCAGAGGCCACAACTAAAGCCATAAAATAACTACTATAGCCAATTAGAGAACATCACATTTACAACACCACTGCTAGAGAATGACCATTGTTACATGCATATAATGTCTATGACATTACAACATCCAGAGAAAAAAAATATCAGGCTGTAGCCACCCCCATAATACTGCCGTATCCCAGGATATAATCAAAATATTGGTACTATTATATCTACCATAGTAACACTGCAACTAGCTGCTAGAGAACGGTCACTATACTAACAATGCTTAACTTTACAAGGCATAGCCTTGTAAATAATTCTTCTTCTGGCTTGCAGGTGGACAGCTATGCTGATTTGCAAGGTTGTGTCCAGTTCCCTTAAATGAGCAATAAAGCTCTTGTTACTGAATTTGTGATGAAAATGAGGATATACAAATTTATCCTATTATAAGAAAGCAATATCTTCCGCTGATAAGGGCTAGCAACCGGAAAATCTTTCTGTAACTTGATAAATAACTCTAAGTTTAACCAATATTTGTGCTAGAAAATAGTGGATCTGGATGCACAGTGGAACATAATGATTTGCATGACTTCCGCCATTATTCTTAAATGAGGAACAGACACCTTGTTCTTTAATTTGTGATGGAAAGGTTGATGTGCAAATATCTTCTCTTTTAAAGAGGAATAATGTACTCAGTATTTTGGTGGAGGGACTTTTGGTTCCTTTTGGCCACCTGTCTCATCTCGCTCCCCAATTGCCTTGGCTGACATGTGTTTCAAATTGTACTTTTTTCCTTCTCAGACGACTTTGCAAACATCATTTTTTTCATACATGCGTATTCATAACTGTAGTGTTTTCATTTCCCCGGATCACAGCCTGGCTGCAACGGAGAAAACTTAGGTAATATGTCTGCCAATAGAAAACTGAAAGGAACACCCAGCTGCCTGAGATCATTATTATTACTGGATGAAAACATGTCTAAATGGCAACTGTCCTTTTTATAAGTTTTTTTTTTGCTGTTTCTTTGAATCATTGTTTTTATTCCTGGATCAAAATGTTTAGTGGAACTTGAAGAATTCTGTAGAAAATCTAATCTCATGTGGAAAACAGAGCTGTAGGAAAAGTGCACATTTGTTTTTACGTTTGCTTATATTTTTTTTATGTTTCTTATTAAAGAGACTATTTTCTATATAAATATAATAGACAGAAAACTTTTACTTTCTATACCAAGGAAAACTAAATTTCTCTCTGACTTCTTAATTACCTCATCATAATGGCTTACCATTTGCTAAATGTAATCAAATTTCTGTTTTTGGTACTATAGATCAGAGAAAACAGTTTACTCTTGATGCAGTAGTGTGCTTTCTTTTTGCATAGTCTACATTTAGAGACGTTAGTTAACAGTTTACTCTTGATGCAGTAGTGTACTCTCTATTCGCATAGTCCACATTAGAGACGTTAGTTAGAAAAGTGATATAAAATGGATGGACCATTGCTACACTTTTCTCTGTGTCTTTTATGTCATCTTTCTCTGCCTCTTGCACATTTACTTGTTTTTACCCTATTCATCTTCTGTTTTATTTTTTAAGACAAAGAAAAGCAAGGAATGCCCTCCTTTGGCATAAGTCTTTGCAGTTCTGGAACTACTGTTTACTCACCAGCATTTTTGATACAACTTTTTATCTTTGCTCCTGATAGTGGAAATGTAGCATGGATTTATATTAGCAAAGAAAATACCTTTGTGGTGAATGCAGTTGTCATTGCACTCAAATATGTCCTAAAAGGCTTAAGGCTTATTCACAATGGAATTTCAACTTAAGGGAGAACTATGGAGTGAGTGAGTTACACTCATCCCCATAGTTAGAGCCGACGTTTGACATTGAATTTGTCACACGTTGGCTCTTATGATCGAGAAGTAAGTGAGAACATACCGCAGCTCGCTCACTTCCCGATCATGTCACTGCAGAGAGCGGTAACTGTCAGGGATTTCCCCCTCCCCTCTTCCAGCGCTGACTGGAGGTACAGCTGACTTTGCCGGGGTGTATCTCGACAGTATTGTCAGGATCCGTCCTGGCTGTGGTGCTCTCAGCATATAGCGGGCAATGGCCTGATATATACTGAGTTTCGGGTCATAGGAGGACATTAGTATATGTCTTCACATGATCCTAAAGAGAACTATGAGAAAAAAAGGTTATCCCATAGTTTTCTTTTAATGTATAGTGGTAATAGTATCAAAGAAACATTTCATACACTCTGTAGAGTATAGTCCTTGAATTTGACATAGACAATTTCAACATGGCTATGTTCCACTTGCTTAGCAATAATTTTTCATTTGTAACAAAGTATGTTGAAAAAACGAGTAAGCACACTACTGGATTCTATGTTTCTTAAATACATACTTACATATTCTAACACATACAGTATTTTTGCTACAAGATTATTTCTTTTTTTTTTATACAACGTTATATAAATGTGAAATAAACCATTATCTATGTACTATATCTAATTTCCTGGAAGCTTAAAGTGGACCTTTGATCATGTAAACCTGTTTCTTTTCTATGATTTTAAGGTTTATTAAAAATTAACCTAAATTACCTATTACTAAGAAGCCTATATTTAAGTTATTTGCTTGCTTCCTTTACTTGAATTTCTTCATGCTGCCACACTACTCACAGATAGAAGGCACAGGGCATGCAAAAAGCACTCTGGTTCCTGAGAAAGGTACATATACACAACAGAAGTAAAGTGGTGATGAAAGGTCCTCTTTAACAGCTCGTGGTCACACAAAAGCTATCATACCAAAGTCTTCCTCTGTAGCAGGCAAGGTTGGCTGCACCTTTGGTGGTCTTATATATACCACTGTACAGTTGGGCTTGGGAGCAGAAGGAGCACGTGGTATCACAATACCTCCTTGTTAAAGAAACAGGCACTTGTTAAATCACCTTAAAATTTAGCCAATATAGTAAACAGTCTATATTCCAAAATAAAGCTAGTTTGCAATTATAGTGAAATGGTGTAAGATAATGTGTAAGGGTCAGTCCACCAAAAATTGATGTATCCAGTGGAGAGCTCTTACTGTAATAGTTGCTGGCTTAACCCCTCCCTCCTTACTTTGTCTTCCAAAAGCAAGGGGGAAGGAACTCCATTAAAATAGCTGTGGCAAATTTTACCTCAAGCCCAGCAAACTCTCCAAGAAAATCAATAGATATGTACTGTGGCTGACTGAACCTTTAACATAGAAGAATCAATTACACAAAGCTGGGTAGTGATGCCAAAATCATTGTTAACAGTGGAGGTTAGTAGTAATGATTACCAAAAGCAATAATATAAAAGTAAAGATTTACCCGGCTGGATAACCCAGTTGTAAATAGAAAACAATTTTGTGGCTTCCACATTTAGTTTCCATTTAAATAGTAGATGTATATTGATTGTATCCATTGATAAATGCTAACTCATAACTAATTACCATGCTTAACAAACTCATCTAGAAATTTCAGAACATCCGCATGTATACTTGTTACTCATTAAGTAAAATAGATAGGCTCTGATTCATTAAACTGCCAGCAACACTTATTGCAAAGTAAGCAGGTGAAGTCATGCTAAAGTAGCCTCCAAGTCAATATTAATGTATGTCTTTTAAGCATACATTAAGTACTATTGCAGCTAAATGAATCAGGGCCTCAGTAGGGCACAATTTAGATTCAGTATTCTTTTTGTTGCTCTAGGTTAGGAACTATGTAAACGATGTAAACTATTAAATGAAATGCTTTGGTGTCCTCGCCTTTTCCAGTTAAATAACACCATGCAATGTGATCACAGAAAGAAGCCAAACTAATAAATTAAAAGTTGTTGAAAATGCCTAATGATAATGGATGTTTAGGTGAGTCAATAAATTGTACTCACACAATGTAATTGTAAAATATATAGGATGTGGAAAGGGTAACACACAATAGGTTACATAATCAGAACTCTGAAGAGAAATATGTAAGCTGCCATCACTGAACTGCTTCTGAAAATGCTAGCTGTCTGGCTGCTGATTCTTTGACTTCAATACATTATGGGTTGCTCACTGACTGATGACAAGCATACAACCACTGACATCAGAACTCCTGAACTAAATGTTCCATCTTCGTGAGTAAGAAAATATGAGAGCCAGGAAGCCTATGAATTTTTCTTGGTACATGTGTTAAAGAAAATCTTTGGCTTGAATGGGCACAATAAAGATATAGCCAAGCTGTAAACATCCAGAGCAACCAGTGCTCAACTTCACATGTGGCAAAGAGAACACATGTGTTATTATGGTAAATAGGCTTGTAAAAGCAATGATTTCAATGCTGAGAAAGAAAGGACAGATCCACCTTTTTACAGGTTTGCTGTCAAGTTATCTTCTATAGACGGTAGTGGTATCACTGTTGCATAGGATAAAATGTCTTCTAAGTGTAACCCTACAAAGTAGCACAATTACATGGAAAGGCTCACCTGGATAAATGCCCAAGTAAGACACATCACCACGGCAATAGTGCTTCATAAAATAATGTCCGCAGGGCTGGATTAATGTAGGGAATCAATTTCACAAGAATTGTAAAAATTCAAACTCCATCTTTAATAACATCTTCAAAAGTAACTAGATGTATTTCAGAGCAAACTTAATTTCCTCTTCAGGAATAACATAGTGATCAGTAGATGCACAATTTAAAGCTCAACTCCAGCTGTGTATGTATGTATGTATGTATGTATGTATGTATGTATGTATGTATGTATATATATATATAATTCCAGGCAAACCCAGCACAGTGTATTACAGTGTCTTCTCGGGTCCTGGAACAGGACCAATCTAGCACAATGATTCGGAAAAATTATCCAATTCAGCTCACTTTCCAGTTCAGCTATGTTGTCCTACATTGTTCACTTCTCCTGCCTTCTCCAAACTCTTCACCCTTTTGTGAATAACCCTGTAGGTATTTATTGAGAAAAATACTGAATGACCACCATGCTGAGCTGTATTTTAACAGCACAGGGGAAGCTTCTCAGCACAGTGGCTGAGCTTGGGTTACAGCTTGAGTATATAGTTTAAAGTTAGTTAATCAGCAGAACAAACAGGATCAAATCTAACAATCTAACACATTTCAGCAATAAAAGAAGAGTTAAAATCCTTTCATAGTTCTAATAAACTAAGGTCAGAAGTGTAAGCAAACCAACATATCAATGGCGCCATACAGTTCATTAGAAGTAAAATGTATTGCACACTAAAATACAAAAGCAGATTACACTTGTCTGCCTATGAAGCAGTATTGCCGTGATGATTTACTTACACGTTCATGTATCCAGGTGAGCCTTTCCATATACGTCTGCTACTTAGTACTCAAACAGTTACACCTAGAAGCTACAAGCCTATTTAGTGTGATTACATTAATGTGTTCTGGCCACATGAAAAAGAAAGCACTATTCACTGTTGTTAAGACCTTGGCTATATTGATTCTCTTAGAGGTGGCCCTGTCCTATTTTGTGTTTTCAGTGCTATTTAGCCCCAGAGTGGGATAGATGCAGCTGCTGCCTTGGAGGCTTACCACTGTGAAATATGAACCCAAGACAGAATGTTCATGATCCCCCTGTATTTCCCAGGGTTTTAACTCTATGAACAATGAATGAGCAAAGCGATAGCTTGGCACCCCCACCCACTGATACTCACCTCCTTAGCACCCCCTACCACTCTGAGGGAGTGCTGAGTCTAAACCCTGCGTCAGCTCCATGATAGTCAGTGACGAAGCTTACACAGAGTAAATTACCTTCGTCCTTCCCTTATGTGACAGTGTTTGGGCTTGGCTATTGGCAACTCAGGCCAGACCACTGCACTCTAAAGTAACGGAGAATGTCACAATGATATCCTTTACTGAAAATACCAGATATTTCTCAGAACTCCTCAAATGAGTGGACCAGCAGGAAAGCACAGCAAAAGGGATATTAGTGTGTGTGCCCTATTAATGGGTAAAGTAACAGATTGTCTAAAATAAAACATCAAGAAAGAGGAGACAGGTTAGAAACACTACCAAGTATAATTGCTGTCTGTGTCTCTGTTGGGGAAACTGTCCTGTACTTACTGTCCTTCTAACACTTCTTTTGCTGGCCTTAAGTACTTCAATTACTGCATCTGTGTTAATATACATAGAAGTCTTGCTGAAAGCTAAACATAATACAACTGGGCATCCTCAAGTCAGAGAAAAGCAGCACTGTAGAAGACAGTAATGGCTTTTGGCATCTGAAAGTGAGGATATAATTTCTATAGAGATAGCAAATCAGTGATTGCTTACACAATTAACCAATTAGAGTGTGACAACCAGTGTCTACCCCTAGTTCTTTTTATCTATAATCTTAGGCCCTGTTCACACCTTTACGTTTTGTCGCGCGTTCAACGCTCTATGAACGCTCTACAAAACGTACAAACTTGAAAATCCCATTGTTTTCTATGGGTATGGTTCACACCTTTCCGTATTTTAGCCCGTCTGAACGCCCTACAAAACGGCCTGCGCCCAAAGAAGTACATGTACTTCTTTGGGGCGTTATGGTCTCGCGTTTCCATTGGGATACAGCCAAGTAGCCCTCGGAAACGCGCGTTTATCGCGCGTTTTTTAACCGCAAATCACGGTAAAAACGCGCGACAAACGCGCATATTCAAAACAGGTAGGTGTGAACCCAGCCTTACAGTAAATTCTTTTCTCTGCAGGGTAAGCAATGAAGTCAATTCTTCACTGTTTTGGACAATTTTTGCAGTGCAATTATTTTAATTTGTATGCACTTTGTATTAAACCCTCTAGCCCTTACTCTGGTATGTTGCTTCAGAACCACGGAGGCTGATTTACTAGGTTTGAGAATGTTCACCCAATACATTTTGTGTGAATATTCAGTGGTTATATTTGTACATTACAGTAACTCATGTTTTACTGTACATTACCGCAATGCATGTTAATGCACAGTGTGTATTGTATTGTAAAGCCACCCAAGGCACACATACAGAGGCTGTCAATGCATCCTGCACCACAGCGCGCCATGATGCACATGCTGTGTGTTGTGGTGTGCTGTATTCCTGAAAATGCTGACGGTGTGGCTTTTTTTGTGTTGTGACTCCATTTAAAAAGATTGGCTAGCTTTAACACAACAGACCTAGTTGTGCATCTTATATCGTAGGTATGAATGTAACTTAAGTTAATTACGTTTAAATGCACCCTGAATTCACTATCTCTAGCTGAAGTAAGTTAATAGTGACAGTGTACAGTTGCACTGTTTATTTTCTAGATAGAAAACTGCCCTGACTTACCAGTATATTATCATTTTAGTGTATACACAATACATAAATTACTGCATGGATATTGAAATTTCAGATGCATTTTGCCATTATTCACTTCTATATTCTTAAGGATAAGAGAGCAGCTTCTGGGAAGTTATGGTGCGTTAGTTTGGTGCTCACCCATACCCTGCATCAGCCATCAAACAGTTTGGTCAAATGAATAGTACTCAAAATGTAAATGTGTCCTACTAGGGCATTGTTTGTATGAGACAATACAGTTGATTTTTCAGTTAGGTAACACAGGTCTGCGACTAAAAAGCTGTTTTTATTATGTTCATCTAATTTCCATGTATTTTGGTGTGCTGAAAACAAATAAAATATTGAAAAAACTCCTAGATGTCATGATTTGCCACAACATGCAAAATTGTCTTCAAATATATCTTTTTATTTTTTTTATTTTTTTTATATTATGGGTTTTTAACCAAATTTAAAGTCCAAATTACTATTAAATAATTCACATAAGTGCATTTAAGATATAAAATGCCAAAAAAACCTTAAAGGGTTTGTCCGAGTTATGTAAAAAAAAATAGCACTGTAAATCTGATGGTCAGCAATATATACTGTACATAAGCTAAGCAAGTTAGATTAGATTACATAAAGATTACGTGGAATAACCAAAACAGCTCTCGAAATGTTTTTTTTGCAGACCTGTGTAATCATTGCACATATATAAAAACTCCTACCACAACTTGGTAGAATTGTGGTAGGCAAAAATGTTTGACTTGGAAAATGCACAAATAGATTTTGTTGCTGTCCATAACAATCAAGAAGCTTCCAATTTTGAATTCTCCAGTGCAGAGGTGAAAAAGGGAGCAAACGTTTAATACCTAAGCCCCTATCGGAATATAAAAGATATTGAGACCTATTAGGTATGCATTTGGTTTGTTTTTCATTTGAAAAATACTGGTTTTATTAACTGCCCACACACCTGCAGGTTAGTTTGCCTGTCATCTCTTGGTAATGTGTGGTCTGATTATTAAAATTTGCCATTCACAGTAATGACCAGGTCTGACATATATAAACTGCCAGGGCAGATGATGACCACCCATATTGTGTGGGTATAACAACTAAATAGAATGACAGACACAAGAGAATAGGGCCCTTAAACAATTGCATCATTCATTCTGCTCAAATAATACCCTAGTAGGTAATGATCAGGCAGGAAAGTCTGCAGCAAGCCATATATATTGTTATCTTTACACTCAATAAACAAATTGTTTGTGTCTTGGCTGATGCAGTTTTAATTAAGTGTAAAGCAGATATTAGATAACACAATATTAAACTTCATTTGGAAATATGACAATTAAATCAACAGTCTAAGGTGGAGAGGCACATACCTGCAGGTGGTGGTTTAGCTGTACCATTAGTAGGTGGTCTCCTGCGAATAGTGGTTGGTTTCACAGGAGGAAGTGGTGCTAAAGATACTGTATAAACATAAAAATAACAATGATAAAAAACATCAATAATAATAATAATAATAATAATAATCACAACATATATTCTGTATACTTTTAATTTAATTTAAAAGTATATCTTTAGTAATCTATCTATCTATCTATCTATCTATCTATCTATCTATCTATCTATCTATCTATCTATCTATCCCCCTCCCTTTAGATTGTAAGCCCTCATGGGCAGTGCCCTGCTTACCATCTTGTCTTGAATTGTATGGTAATTGTAATGTCTTCCATATATTGTAAAGTACTGCGCAAACTGTTGGTGCTATATAAATCCTGTATTATAATAATAATAATACCAATAATAATCTATTCATCCATATCCTATCAACATTTGTTTTTGCAAGTCGGACAGCTATGCCCCCAGGCCAAGTCAAAATGGATACTTTGTGTCCTTCACAGCTCCACTAAACCCATTAATGATTAAAATAATGGAATTCCTTTATTACTGTACGTGCGCTGCTAATGTTAGCCATGGCAAGCGTACACATAGACATTTAATGATTGTTATCTAATTGTATCTCTATATTTTTAGTTTGTTTGCAAACATTTGCTTAGTTATCAGATCTAATTACTGTTAATTACTAATTAATGTTTTGTCTACTTTTTCTAACAGATTAAATATGCATTATATGGACAACACACTCAATGGCCAATTAATGAAAATAGATGAAAAAAAGATGCAAAGCACATAGAAAATGGTTGAAAATGGAACAAAAGTGGATGGAAAATGGAGATGATTTGGTGAACATGATCAGCAAAATGACCAGGAACTCTCTGACCTTACAACATACCTGTGACTCCTGGTTTGCCTGTTACATTGCTATTCTGAATTCTTCTACGTATGGAAGTTGGTTTTACTGGGGGAAAAGGTGGTGAAGATACTATAGGGATGACAAGATCATGTTAGTATTTTAGACAATAGGCATATTTAAAGAAAACCTGTGATTTGCCTAAGCAGGAAAAAGCAGCAGGTTTATTTTGATGCCCTGCTCCCAAGCAGAACAAACTTACCTTCCTCTGTCTATCCTGTTGCTACATCCAGCTGCCCAGACTGAGTTAAGCAAGCCTTGTGTAAGATCTGAGCCACTCTGGTCTAAGCTTTTACAGATATGATGGCTTTCTTCACACCCCTCTGACAATCCCCTGGATCAGTTGTCGGTAATTATGGGAAAATGTTGTTGTTTATGAAAGTTTTTCTATTTCTTGCCCTCTACAGGTTGAATTCTATGGACTTCTGTCTGTTTTCAACCTGACTAGATATGAAACTATGTAAGTGCTGAGCAAATCACCAAGCACCATTGCTGTCACATGTCACCCTCCTAACCCTCCTGTATTTAAATTGTATTGTTAACTGTATTGTCTCCCTCTATTTTGAAAGTAAATCCTGTATAATAATAATATTAATAATAATAATGTTCTGGGATCCTATAATCTCATCATGTGCTGATCTGTTGCTAATCTATTGCATGATTGTCCCCCTCCCCAACCCTCAGGCTCCATACCAGTCATGTGGGCTGCTGTGGCTATTGGTATAATGTGTGAAACATTATATTCACTTGATAGTAAACATCTAGAAGATGTTAAAAATATATAAATAGGAGAGGTATAATGTGTTTACAGATAAGATAGATACCTGAAAATGTACGTTTTCCAGTGTTGTTTGGTTCCATAGAAATATTTCTGCTCACACCAAGAAGCTTTGTACTGTCTAAAGCTCTTCCACCTAGTAAGTATACAATAATGCCAGTTTTAATACATACTTCTAGTGTATGGTCTTCCAGAAATACCTGATATTGCCATACGTTTTTAAGTTGTTAGGGATATCATTATTAGGAAAGGTTTTATACAGTACCTTCTTATATTATCTGTAACGTATTAGCACTAAAGTAAAATGTTATATTCTAAACCATAATCATATATCATACTAGTATACTGGACAGAAATAGTGTAGTGGACTTTTATGCTCTGCAACACAAGCAGGCTTATTCAGTAAAGCAACATGCATAGCACAGTAACGTATAGAAACCAATCAGAAAGGATCACACACCAATCTAACTTTAGAAACCTGCTTGCTATAGGTTGCTGAATTTACCCCATCGTCACTGCCTTACACAAGTCTTCTTGTGTACCACAAAGACTGATTTCCAGCACTCTTTAAAGTGATTCTCTCAAACTAATAAACGCTTAATCTAATCCTTCTTTCTGTCTGAGATATACCTCTATATATACATATATATA